AAGGAAAAAGAAAAAAACAAAGGGGGGGGGGGGCTCCAGTTAAAGAGCATCCAGATGGAGCCCATCTTTATTTCTCTTCCTTTCATTTCTCCTAAGTTCTGCTTGCTGAGGTGTTCCTGTCTCATTTCTGCATCTTTTTTAAAAGTCTGCATTAAAATCAATAATTTTTGTGTGTATTTTTCATACACAATTTTTCATTTTCATACACAATTGTATTTAATATAAGTATTATTTGCAAGCAAGATTTACCTCCTAAAATGCAATTTATATGACTTTTTATCATTAGTGTCATAAAAGATACTTTTTATGACTTCTTGATGGAAGACCTGCATTACATACCAAAACATAACTGTATTTCAGTTTGTATACCAGTTTGGGAAGTATCAATCAAACAGCGCAAAAGTTACAAAACTAAATTAATTTCTCCCCCTCTTAAATGTGGAGTAATAAAACCAATTTTCCATATCAGATGCGGCCTGAGCAATCTGAGCCGTAAATGACTCCTAATGCTGCCACATTAATCAAGATGAGTTAGGGTTGGGTTCATTTGCTCTTTTGCTGATTCATTATTATGATTATTATAATTATTATTGTAATTATTTTCAGAATTATAATTATAATTATTCATTAATTGGTCATGTTGCTGCTTTTGAAGTATCGTTACAGAACAAATCCTTCCAGTGTTGCCTCATCTGTTGTGATTCAGGCCTGTGTATAGATTACACTGGCCAACACATGTTTGGGTGACTCAAAAGTCAGTCCTGTTTCTCGGTATATTTGACCTGCTGATTCCAAAAAATGGCACCAGTGTCCCCCCCCCCCCCAATCAGCTCTATTTTTTGAGATACAAAATATACATCATCTACCAGTTGCCATCTGTTTGCCCATAGAAAATCATGTTGCCTATATATAGGAAACTAGAACTAATGTGGTCTACCCAATGCAATTTTCTGAATCGGTGCCCTAAGTAATCCCTAGAATAGGCCTAAAAACCAAGACACCAAGAAATGTTTTGTTGTTGTGCTGTGATATAACAGGATAGCTACAAAATAAAGGCAATCTTTAATACACTCCTTGAATTCCATAGGGTTTTCCTAGGCAAAAAATATGTAGAGGTGGTTTTGCCAGTCCCTTCCTTTGGAATATAGTCTGCAGCATCCACTATTCTTTAGCGGTACCCCATCCAAAGTTCAACCACAAATCTAATGCACACCCCAATTTTGGCAAAGTCAATTAGCCAAAAAAAAGTGAGCATTAGATTCGAGTACATACAGTATTTTTACACCCTGAGGATGTAAACTGAAGGCAAGGGAGAAAGTGAGAAGAGGGAGAAAGTAGTTGAAAATACAGACAACAGAGGAGTGATCAGAACTTTCTGTGCCAAATTAGAACAGTTGTAAGGTATATGATGGGATTCGTACTCTGGCAACCTTTGGAGAATCTCAAGTTAGGTAACAAAAATATCCCTCTTTAGGTTATAGCAGTGGTTCCCAACCTGTGGTCCATGGACCACCAGTGATCCCCAAGAACTAAAATATGGTCCGTGGCCTCACTGTTACTACACCGTTGCAACTAGAGTGACTGGTCTTGCTAAACCCTCTGATAGTTCGAGGCAACGGGGATGTCGGGAGGGGAAAGTCTGACTACCCACGAAAGGCACAAAAAGTCTCCTGACTGCTGCTGCTGCTGCTCCTCCTCCCTTCTCCTGAATGGAGCCATTCCATGTGGCACCTGGAAGTGGGGGCACCTTGTTGTCTTCATTTTTAGGCCTGTTCCTGGTGTTATTTGGGGTGCTGTTTCAGAAAATTACACTGGATAGACCACATCAGCTCTAGATTATTTTTTTATTTTTTATATTTTTTATTATTTTATTATAGTTCAATACATTTGTTATACATTGTTTATTTTACAGCAGATACATATTATTCAATACAACCTACCATACTTTTGGCATCTAGTGTTATTTTTCCGCTTATACATATTATCTATCCCTCACCACTGTGCTCCCCTCCCCCCTCCCAAGCCACAGACAGCTTTTACATATAATCTGTCCAAAATGTCAATTCTTCTTGTGGAGGTAACTTCCCTTCTTTCTTTTTAAATCCTTTTTCAATAAATTTTCTCCATACATCATCAAAATCACTTCATTTCCATACCCTCTTTTAACTTTTAATATACATGTCATCTTATCATTTATTGCCAATTTCCAGACTTCCTTGTACCACTCCTCTATTTGTATATTTATTTCTCTTTTCCAAATCCTTGCTATAAGCAATCTTGCTATTGTTAATAAGTTTGTTATCACATCTTTATCCTCTTTTTTCAATTGTTTATTATTATATAATGATAATAAAGCTATACTAGGACTTCTTTCTATTTTAATGTTCATTATATCTTCTATTTCTCTAAATACTTTCCCCCAAAGATTATTTACATATTTACATTACCACCACATATGTATATATGTTCCTGATTCTTGGCATCCTCTACAGCAATTTTTGGAGTAGTTTTTTTATTTATATTTGCTATACTTACTGGTGTTAGGTACCATTTCCATATTAACTTATTGTAATTTTCTTTCACCCGTACTGATAAACTTTTAGATGTCTTTGTCTCCATAATTGTTGCCACTCTATTTCATTTATTTTTATCCCTAAATCTTCTTCCCAGACCTGCTTGAGGATGTTGTTTTTTTGTTTTTCCTTCCTTTATTGCAATTGTTATCTTATATACTTTACTAATTATTCCCTTCAAATTTTCATGCTCCTCTACAGCCCTTCCATTTTGTATTATTTGTTCAAATTGGTTAAGCTTACTTCCGTTTTTATTATTTTTTTACCCAGTTTTTAAACAATTGTTCTAATTGTATACAATGGAACCATGTCAATTTTATTTCTCTAAACTCTTCCATAATAATTTCCTTCTTCATTCCAACCTTTATCCAATTCCTTATTTTGTCTATAAAAAATTCCCCTAAACTTTTTATCCATTACTTTTTTAAAAAAAAATGGAAATTTCTTTTCTTTTCCAACTCCAATTAGCTCTAGATTATTAAATATGGTTTTCTGTGGGCGAGCAGATGGTGACTACCTGATGGCATATGTTCTGTAGCAGAAACTAGAGCTGATGTGGTCTATCCAATGCAATTTTCTGAATCAGTGCCCCAAATAACCAAACCGAATCTAAAGTTGACCAAAAACTGATTTGTAACCTTTTTGGTACTAATGTTGGAGAATGGTCCCTGGTCAAAGTGGTCCCTGGTCAAGTGGTCCCTGATCAAAAACAGGCTGGGAACCACTGGGTTGTAGGGAGAAGGGCTTTTTCCTTTTGGATTTCTTTGCTGGAAGGAAAGGGATATAAGCTGTCCAAGACTGATAAGAGTCTCAAAGATTTCCAACTAGTCTTAGGCTTTGAAATTTCATCACAGAACTCTGTTGGTTTTCAAGTGGGAGGACAATGACTATTAACCAGATTCTTGGATGCTTCTTTAGTGGTCAAAAGATCCCAAATGTGGGAGGAAAAACTGGTTATCTCCACTCCTCCACCTCAATGAAGAGCATTTTTAAAGATTCCTCCACCCAGCTTCAAGATGTGGATTTGAACAGCTGTGTCGGCAGAAAAGATGAGAGTGAAGACCACTTCGTATTGATTCAGGTAAGGCTCCATGGAAGCAACATAGACATTTCCAGGTAGAGTATAGGTTTAGGAATGAGCCTGGGTCTTTTGGGTTGCAATTCTAAACCCTCTGAGGCCCCTTCCACACAGCTGAATAACATCCCATATTATCTGCTTTGAACTGGAAAATATGGCAGTGTGGACTCAGATAACCCAGTTCAAAGCAGATATTGTGGGATTTCTGCCTTGATATTCTGGGTTATATGGCTGTGTGGAAGGGCTCTGAGAAAGGCATATCTGTCTCTGGAGACACTCATGGGATTGCAGTCTAAGTAATTCAGATCTGGGGATGGCAAAATAGACTAGCGGTGTATCTACACTGTAGAATTAATGTACATTGACACCACTTTAGCTGTCATGGCTCAATGTTATGGAATAATGAAAGATGTAGGTTTACAAGGCCTTTCTCTGCCAAAGAGTGCTGGTGCCTAACCAAACGACACCTCCCAAGATTCCATAGCATTGAACCAGGGCAGTTAAAGTGGTGCCAAATTGTATCAATTCTATAGTGTAGATATGACCTATGATTAGAGAGTAGCTAAAGAAGCTCTATTTTGTACAGAGCTTTAGACAGCATTCATGATTTTTCTTTCTCTTTTTAATATCACCATGTGTTTTGGAGCTTGTCCTTTGCATCAGAAAATAAATATTGACTCAACAAAACAAAGCTGATATAAAAACTTAAAAGGATGAGATCAAAACAAAAGATGTCAAAGAAATAGTTGCATCTCAGTACAACTAGATGGAGAAATTGCATTTTTAGATTATTATTAATAATAATAATAATAATAATAATAGATCTTTATTTGTACCCCACCACCATCTCTCCAAAGGGACTTGGGGTGGCTCACAGAAACACTCCAAATGCCATATACAGACAACTATACATAAGTATAAATACATTTTGTTAGGAAACCTGCCAAAGGTGATAGAAGATAAATGGTTTTGTCATCTTGGGAGTTGCTTGGAATTGTTTTTTCCGGAGTACTACCCCTTCTTTCTATATCTGTTTAAGATCTAGAAAGAGGTTTCTGGAAATTCTTGAGATTTCACTCCAAAAATATGAAGTCAGATATTAACGACCCACTTTGTTGTACTTTGTCTATAGATCTGGAAGTAGTTGTTATATTAAAGGAGCACCAAGTGCCTACATCATAGTAAAACATTAAAATAAGTCCCTATAGGGAAAAAAAAGTTAAAGTGATGTCTAGTATAGATGCACGGCATAGTCCAATACTACAACACACTGGCACTTTTGAAAAAAGGAATCTAAGCTGATTTATGTAAGCTTTTATTAATGTCAATCCATTTTTTTCAGAGGCTGTGATGGAGTAAAATATTCAAGCCATATCTTATTTTCTACATTGTGAAAAATATAACTTGCAAGAATGGATTTCACTGTGATCAAAACAATCATCCGCATTGCCCTGAATATTGTGTCAACCTCCTTCATCACCAAATATGATCACTTGCCTTCAATGATATTCAGGTTCATGATATGGTAAGTATATGTCTAGTAGGATATGCAGTGTGATTATTTTCATTCAGGATTGACCATGGAAGGACCTCCAAACCAGGAAAAAGTATGTGGTTGAAGGTAAAAATCTGGAATTCCAGAACATGGAGCACCAGCAAGGCAATGTCTGTAGCTAGAAAGGTTTGTTGTTTATTGCCTTCAAGTGGGCTCTAACTTAGGGTAACTCTTATCATGTGGTTTCCTTGACAAGATTTATTCAAAGGACATTTGCCCAGTGAGTTTCTATGGCTGAAAGTGGATTTGTACTCCAGAGTTTCAGACTCTTGATCGAGCACTCAAACCACTAGATCACACTGATTCTCAAAAAGGGCTAGTTTTGGATAATCCACCTGAACATTTGGAAGAACTCCTAACTGTGAGAGCTGTTCACCAGTGGAACTCTCTGCTCCAGAGTGTGGTGGAGGCTCCTTCATTGGAGGACTTTTAAACAGAGGCTGGATGGCCATCTGTCAGGGGTGCTTTGGATGCAATTTTCCAGCTTTTTGGCAGAGGGTTGGATTGGATGGCCCATGAGATCTCTTCCAACTCTATGATTCTACGAATATTATGGTACAGGGTGACCAAGTGGGGCCCTGAGCTACCAGAAGTCTCGACTCTCTTTCTTTTGCCCCATGACTCACATAAACAGTCATAGATTGCCCTTTTTCTGGCAGTTCCAATTGTCCAAACACACACATTTAGGGGCTATTTTTTATAGTCTGTGCACTCTGCCCTACAGAAAGGTCTAGGGCCAAAAATCATTTAGACCTGACTATCGTGTCCCCTCACAAGCGTCTCTTATCCAAGCTAAACATGTCCAGCTCCCTAAGCTGCCCCTCATGGGCTTAGTTTTAACATTTTAGTCATCATCCTCTGGATACATTCTGGCTTTTCCATATTCTTCTTGAATGTGGACAAGTTGGAACTTGGAAATCTTTAAACTTACCTTTTACAAGTTGAGTATCCTTTATATAAAATGCTTGGGATCAAAAGTGTTTGGAATTTCAGATTTTTGGATACTTATATCCATGGGCACATACACGCCTAATGAGATATCTTGGAACTGGGACCCAAGTCTAAAAACAATATTTGTAATAGTTTTGTTCATTGGACCATCAGAGAGCAAAGGTGTCACTGTCTCAGCCAGTGGATTGTGGATGATTTTGGATGCTCTATCTGTACTAGAAATCACTGGGCAGAAATATTTCCAGAGCACCCTCCATCTATTAATCTTGAGTTTCTGCATTCTTTTAGGTGCAAACGTCTGAAAAGGCATGTAATACTGGGACACGCTGACAAGGAAGACTACACATTCAGTTACTTCTCCAGAGGAAAACCTGGGCCTCAACCATCCATTTTGATGCTTCATGGGTTCTCTTTCAACAAGGATGTATGGCTTGATACACTTGAGGTAGCTGTCAATTTTTTATTCAGTTGACCCTGAAGAAGAGGAAATTGGATGGTCAGCCAGAAGTTGTTGTATTCTAGGCCTTACCAACCCTAAGCAGCACTGTTGCTGCTAAGGAATTGTGAGAGTCCAGCAACATCTGGAGGGCTCCATGATTCCCTATCCAGTTATAGCCCTAGCAGGGCTGGCCCATTTGAATGCTGAAATATTGGAAGACTGTGACCATGTCACCTCTCTGTCTTCTCTTCACCAAGTTGAACACAACTAAATCTTTCAACCTTTTCTCATAGGTTTTGTCCTCTGTACCTCATATAATTCCTCCTTGTTCCTTTCCCAGCTGTTTCCCCAGGATCTCCATGTGGTCTGTGTGGACATGCCTGGCCATGGAGATACTACTCGCCTCCTGCAAGAAAGTTATACAGCAACTGCTCAGACTAGAAGGATACATCAAGTAAGTCTTTTATGTAGCTGTCCATATAAAAGTTGACCTAAAATATGAAGCAGTGGTGGTGAAGACGGTAGGGGGTGTTACAAGGGTCTGGGATACTCTTCAGAGCAAAAACCATGATATGTGTTTGATCCAGATATGATATGGTTTTTAGTTAGCAATGGCTATCAACTAATCCCATGAAACTAGGCATTGGAGAACACACTACGTGGGAAGTATGCAATGACAGCTAATGGCACCCATGACTTTGAACCTACTCTGGCCATTTGTTAGAGTTAAGCCTGTGATTGTGTCGAATGATCAGGGTACACTGGATGTTGGGAGTGACAATGAGGTTCATGTTTCTAATGACAATGGGATTCCTGTTCAAAGTGATTTTTTAAAGGGTTTGGGGATGATGGTATGTTTCAAGGCTTTGAGCCTGAGAAAAGCTCAGCACCTGGGCCAGCTGCAGAAATTAATGAGCCAGTAGATAGGTGAAATGCTTTCAGTCAGCACAGACAAACAACTCTGCCATGTTGCAAGAGAGATTGATAATAGAGTAAAGGCTGAAAAGAAATCCATTCCTGGCCACTTGGGATATAGAGTAGATTAGGGGATAAAAATGCCAATACAGAATCTGTAACCAGATGAAGCAATGTTAGGACTGAGTCAAGACATGGTCCCAAGTCCCTGGAAGCCTTGCCCTGTGCTAAGTGCCTTGTTTGATTCATGTTCAAATTTTGGGGTTTTACCTTGGAAGTTTCAGTATTTGTTTTCATAAACTCTGATGGAGTAATTTCCTGGACTATTTGTTTCTATCTATCTTTCTACCTAATTGGATTTACCTATTTTTGTGGATTGCTTTTTACTGCTACTGCTTTAAAAATATCTTCAATAAACTGCTTGCATTTTTTACTCAGCTGTGTGGTGTTTAAAGTCAGAGGGCTTTCCCTGCTTGGAGTGCAACACCATCACTCTGAACTTTCAAGGAAATATCCATGGTGCTGAACCTACTTTGGGGATAGGATTCAGCACCTTGGAGCCCAGCTATGAAGAGAATAGAAAAGAACAGAATAACTTTATTGTCATTGTACATCATACAATGAAATTGAATGCCATGCTCTTGGGGTGTTCACGAAGAGCATCTATGCACTAACATTTGATATTACTGTATTGTTACTCTCAACATTTACCCCAGTACTTGCTCTTCGGATATTTATTTTTCTGCTGGCTTGGGATATCCTGGCAATAAGTTAGGCCTTTTGTCACATAACTGCAGAACTTTCTATCTGTTGCCATAATCTTCATCACCATCATCATCATCTTCTGTTACAAATTTTATGGGTTTTTATTTTATGGGTCAAGTTCTTACACATGGGGGAGATGGAGTGTTTTAATTTCCTCTCTCTAATAGTAACTTTAACTTATTATAATGTATCTCACAATCTCTCTTCATTCATGCTTCCTACTTCAGTTTGTTGAATGGATTGGTCTGAACAAAAACCCGTTCCACCTTGTTGGCATGTCCATGGGTGGGATGGTTGCTGGGCTTTATGCTGCTGAGTATCCATCAGAGATCTGTGCCTTGTCCCTCCTTTGCCCAGCTGGTAAGTATCTGAATCCATGTACTTCAAGCTCTTTCCCAATGTTATTTTCAGTGAAAGGACCAAGCTGAGGGGTCCAACTTAGAAATTATTGAGACATGGAGGAGAAGGAGAAGGGATTGTTATACTACTCCAAGTACAGTAGAGACTCGCTTATCCAACCTTCACTCATCCAGTGTTCTGTATTATCCAATGCAGTCTGCCTCCTGGATCCACCGCTGTTTCAATACATTGCAATGTTTTGGTACGAAATTCGTAAACACAGTAATTATTATATAACCTTACCTTGTATTGAACTGCTCTTTCTGTCAATTTGTTGTAAAACATGATGTTTTGGTGCTTAATCTGTAAAATCATAATGTAATTTGACGTTTAATTGGCTTTTCCTTAATCCCTCCTTATTATCCAACATTTTCACTTATCCAACGTTCTGCCAGCCTGTTTATGTTGGATAAGCGAGACTCTGCTGTAATATAACACTTGACAAGATATGATAGAAGCTTGCAAAGGGCTCTGGCATGCTCCAGTTCTACATTTCCCAACCCTTTCTGTTCCTGACCTGTTCCACATTTCCAATGGACACAGCCTTTCTTTGCATGCAAACAGCATGGAATGATGGGATTTAGTCCTCTCCATTTGATAAAGTAGACTCTGTCATGTCTTCGGGTACATCTACACCAAGAGTTGTCTTATTATGTTTGTGATACACCAATTTTGACCATTGGGGCATTCTGTCTTAACTCTTAGGGCTGAGATATCCAACAGAAAGTGAGTTCTTTGTGTGCTTAAAAGAGTTGGTGTTCTCCAAGGATCCTTCAGACAATACTATTGTTTCAGTCAGTGAAAAAGAGGGAGAAAAGTTACTCCAGATTTGTTTGTATGATCCCAGCTTTATAAAGACACAGGTGAGATAATGCAGTTCCAAAGAATGCATTGCAATTTCTAGAACTATCTCTCCCTCACATCTCCTGAACTCTTGCTCTCTGTTTTCTCTTCCACTTCTAGCTGGTCAAGGGATATCTTGATGACCGGAGGCCACATAAAATGTTCTTTGTGAATTGTGAGTACCAGAGGGTATATGGGAGCAAAAATATTGTACAGGGAATGTGAAGAGCACCCCTCCGAGATCCAGGATACTAGTATGACTTCTTAGCCTCCCACAGTTCCCTTCCTTTACTACATGTTTGTGCTTTAAAATCCATATGAAATAATCTTGTGATGCTTAATTCTGGATAGCATACACTGAATGGGCTTCTAAGGCTTTCCTTAGCTAGCACACACACTAAGGGCCTCATCACATTGGATTATATTCTGCTTATATCAGCATGCATCCTGTATTTTCTTAGGACTGGATGCATACTGTATAATAAAAATAACAACAACACTTTATTTATATTCTGCCCTGTCTCCCCAAGGGGACTCAGGGAGGATGACAGTACACATACAAAGCAAACATTCAATATCATTTTGGATAGATAGGACAGAGACAGACAGAACAGAAAGGAGGCATGTTGTGTCAATGTCTAGTTTTGTTGGGGTGCCTTGGAGGTTTTACTCAAATCCAGCCACAGGGGGTGCTGTCGCAACATCCTCTATGATTGAGAGCCATCAGGACTTCCTTCTTCCTTTTGGTCTCCAGGCATTTTGCAATCTTTTTCTTTATGGTGCCGTAAAATACCTCCCCTGCTTTTTTTTAGGAGTACCTAATTTCTCTACTTTCAGCTCAAGCTGTTTTGGAACTGCTTAGGTCAACAGTAAGCTGGGCTAACAGTTGGGAGCTCATGCCAGCCCAGGGCTTTGAACTGGCAACCTTTTGGTTGGTAGATCTTATCAGTGCTAATGATTTACCAGCTGTTCTAAAGCCCGGCCCAGTCTGAAGCCCTGCATCCAGACGGGGTGAATACTGACCCCAACACAGCCGATTCTTACAAAGTGAAAATCCTCCTAATCCATTCAAATGCCTCCCTGCAACACTTTTAAAATTTATTTCCCCCTAATATTGTGCAGTGACATAACCTGGAAGTCTCAAACTACTATTCTTGTGAGATTTTAGTTAACGGAATGCATCCTGATTTTATGATCACACATAAAAACAGCATCTCAAACCCATATTAAAAACACACACACACTTAGAATCCTGTGTTCAATGACTCCATTTTGCAAATGGATTCAGACAGATTATTGATGGAATGCCACAAATGTCATATAACAGGGTCCATTTGAAATCGAGTTCAAAGAGTCTCAGAAACTGAGTAAAATGCAAAAAGATAAGGTCCTAAGCTCCATTAGACTACAAAATGGTTGAAAGGAGAACAAGTTCTCATGTTGCAGGTCTTTGAATCTAGTTTGTTGCCATCACCTCTACATTTGGAGCAAGTCTAGGGTTTTTTCAAGTCAAAATTTCCCCTCTGATTTTTAAAAAAATATTTGAGTTAAAGTACTATTTGTAAGGTTTCCATTACACTGTTCAACGGAGAAAAAGTTGCAGGCCTGAAAATAGCTGTTCTTTTATGATTTTGGGGTGCTGAAAACGAAAATGACATTTAAAAATGTATATTGGCTCTAGTTTTTATGATACAAGCAATCACGTGATCATGTATGGTTGAAAAAATGCATGTTGCGACTTACACTATGGAAGAGTCTAGAATATTCTGGAAAGTTTGATGACGCAGTATTAGTGCCGTGTGCAAAAGCCAGAAAGCCCTATATAAGGCCAGACTTCCTTGACTCGCATCTGGATTTATTTCCATCAAATTGTGGGGCAGTGAGCGACGAGCATGGTGAGCGTTTCCATCAACAAGTTGCCACTATGGAAAAAAGATATCAAGGCCAATGGACTCTGTCAATGCTGTCAGACTACTGTTGGAGCATTGTAAGAGACAATCCTTTCCTTGAATACAAAAGGAAAGTCAAGAGAAGCAAACAGGATATAAACTAAAGTCACGATTAAAGCGACATTTAAACTTTCAGACTTTTCAACTGTATTAGGCCTACTAATATAGTTTCTTGCTGCACAAACATAAACAATAGACTAATTAAATAAATATTTCTCATGTATAAACTATTGGCAATATAATTTGACTAAAATTTAGTAAATATTCATGGTTTATATACATGCAGTAAGGTTAGGCGCACTATCATAATATTAACAAATTACCTATTGTGGAGAAAATTGAAATAGCTGTTGCATAAAAACACATAATTAACACATTTAATTATTATATTTGAATTCAGCATGTTAAATTTATTAAGAAATGGCACATTTCGTTTCCGCAACTGAGAAAAACTGAAAATTTGTAGAACAGTGTTATGGACAAACAGAAGCTTGGAGTGAATTTTAGCCAAGAAAAGTGAGGTGTGAGAATGATAACTGCAGAAAATTGTGATTTGGAATCATTTTTTACACATTGAATTGAAATTTGTAAATGGTGACAGAAACAGCCTTCACTCTCAAACTCTGCTTCTTACCGAGAAAGGCTTCTTAGATGTTTCCAGTGCCCGATCCAGGTACAGCTTTCATGACAACTTGAGGAAGATCAAAGCTCCAACACAGATCATTTGGGGAAAGCATGACAAGGTAAGAGACAGGTGTGCAGTGTGGTTGTGTGTGCGTTTGCCTACATGTGGAGGCATAGTGTTTAGAGCAGTGGTTCCCAACCTCTGGTCCATGAACCACCAGTGGTCCACAAGAATGAAAATATTATCCGCGGTCTCACCATTACTACATTGTTGCCTCAAAACTACGCGGCAATGAGAGCGACTGGTCTCGCGAAACCCTCTTATAGTGCCAAGGCAACAGGGATGTTGGTAGGGGAGAGGCTGACTACCCATAAAATATTACTACTACTACATCAGCTCTAGATTATTAAATATGGTTCTCTGTGGATGAGCAGATGGTGACTACTGGATGGCATATGTTCTGTATCAGAAACTAGAATTTATTATGTGGTCTGTCCAATGCAATTTTCTGAATCATCACCCCAAATAACCAAACCAAATCCAAAGTTGACCAAAAACTGATTCGTAACTCTTTTGGTAGCAACGTTGGAGAGTGGTCCCTGGTCAAGCTGGTCCCTGGTCAAAAAAAGGTTGGGAACCACTGGTTTAGAGTTAGAGCAATGTAACAGAAAACTGTACCAGAAATGAGAGTTGGTTCATTTAAGCAGCCTTTCATGTGCAAACACTCCTTACTTTTGGGAAGGGGGAATCTGCTCCATAGGAAACTGTGGAGCAAGTAACTCGGGCCTTCCAGAGGTTGCTGGACTACAAATTCCAGAATCCATAGCCAACTGCACCAAGAGTGAGGAATTATGGGAGACAGAGTGGAAAAAGATTTGGAGGATTGTAGTTTTATAGCATTGTTTCTGGAAAGTTTCTGGAGAGACTAAAACAAAACGGATAGCTATTCTGCCAAGATGATTTAAAGCAGTGATTCTGTCTTTGGTCTTCCAAATGTCTCAAATTTAGGGCTGGATTTACCATTAAGCAAAATAAACAGAAATTTTTCATTGCCAGATTTACCATGAACCATATGGTGAAAAGCCACAAATGGTGGAGATGAACAAGACCCCACAAAAAAAGGGGTTCCCATAGTGAAAGACTTTCCTATAGAAAAACCAGGAGAAAAACTTTTCAAATATAGATAAAATGGAAGTATGCAAAAATAAACATTATTTTCCATCTTACTGTAAGTTTATTACAGTTGCTTATATTTTGATTAAGAAATATTTGGGTATCTTGTTTGCACTTTAAGATCGTTGCACTTTATAAACTTGCCCTGATGGCTCGTAGATCTAGTGCTGACTGCGTTGCACTTTAAGATTCTTAAGACTCTGCACCTTATGAACTTAATTGTTGTGGTTGAAACGTTTGTTATCACTCAGTTTGTTGTTATCCATGTGGTTCCCCATCCCCCTACTCGTACTGCCCCTGCTATTAGTAACCAGTGGAGGGGGCAAGGAAGGAAGTGGGCTGGAGCCTGTGAACAATAATGAGGCGGGGTGGGGGGAGAAGAGGAAGCAAGGGAATTGGCTAGGACCTACAAACCAAACAACCAGTGAAAGAAATTAAGACCTTGGTTTTGGACTGCGGCATGGAGGAGGGGAGGTGTTCCACTAGCCGAGGGGCCCCCATAGAGGTCGTGGTGGGGAAGGGGAGATGCGGAAAAAGGAGACATCGAATTCGGCCTAATTCGGACTATGTATCTACATTGATAACCCCAAATCGGTCTCCTAAGGTAAATTGGTGTAACCAGGAGAGCGGGCCCTCTGGATTGAAGGTGGTGCTGCTGAACGCCAGATCTGTCAACGGAAAAACGACCTTTATCCAGGATTTAATCCTGGATGAGCGGGCAGATCTGGCGTGCATTACGGAGACCTGGCTGGATGAAGCTGGGGGTGTG